TTGTTTAGTAGCATTGACAAGTGACAAAGCTTTCAAAAGATCTTGATCATGCTTTTGTAACACTACACTCAAATCATTTGTAAATCGTAAAATCTCAACCATCATATATAACATGAAGATAAAATCAAATGATTGAAGCACATCTAAAAAAATCATAGTTTCACCAAAATTTTCAAATGATGAATCCTTCCTGACTTCTTCAAGTGCCCCAATAATGGCACCATACAAAGTCATCAAACTAGTGAGAGTCCTAAAGTGGGAACACCAATGAGTGTCACCCGCTCTAACAATAGATGATTCTTGATTTAATTTGTTACCAATCTCTATCTGGCCCTCTTAAATCAATTTAGTAAAGTCAATTACTTTTTTGTTCCGAAGCAAATCTTGTCTCTTGTTAGAAGATCTTATGAAATTAACAAGCATATTGACTTTACCAAAAAAAACCACTAACATATGTGTAAGTCTTAGTGCATGCAACAAGTTCCAATTGAAGTTGATGAGTGAAATAATAGACATAATAAGCACATGGATTCTCCATTTGGATTAAAATTCTCAAACCGCCAAACTTATCTTCCATATTGCTAACTTCGTCATACCCTTTTTTTTTCCTAATGCTAGATAAATCCATTAATAGATAACAACTTCTGAAGTGCTTTCTTAAGTGACTTGGCATGTATTTCTTTAACACTTACAATGCCAAGAAACCTTTCTTTTATCAAACCTTCACTATTAACATAGTCAACAACGACAACCAATTATTCTTTACCAACAACTTCATTATATTCATCAATCAAAATACATAACATATCATCTGCAATATCACATATAATGTGTTGAGTTATTTCACATACACAAGCAACAACAAGATCCTTTCGAATCTTAAAGGACTAGCTATCTCTGGGTTAATTTTTTTTAGAGTGTCTACCAACTTAAAAAATGACTCCTTAAATAAAGAGTTAAGGAACTTTTTACTCCCTCTAAATGGCATGTCACATCTTTAAAAAAAATAGTAGCTATAGGAGATGTGTTTACACAAACACAATATTCGACATTCATTTGTCTAATTTGATTAACAAACGCAACCTTAATAATTTGGTTTGAGTTCATGAGAGTGTAACTCATATGCAGACAATCAACATGACTATTGAAAGAAGTAGCATGATTAGTCAATCCTTAAGCATTCTTCCATTCACCAAACCCCTCTCCCTCAAAGTGATCCCCCACCATATTTAGGGACATTTTGAAATTAAAAAAACATGAAAAATAAAACGTTAGGTCCTTAGATTCACTATAATCAATCCAGTATTACAAATCAAACTAATTTTTGAAAAAACGACGTCTTTGTTTACCTTGAACAGGACAAGTGTAAACAAAATCGTGAGGAGTTTGATGACGACGTATTCTTAAACAAGCTTCCTTCACCTCATTTTGGATGTCAAGATGATAGCTTGAAATTGGGGGCATAATTTCTAGATCTATTTCTAACAATTCATAATCAACAACTTTAATACTCTCACTTGAATGTTGAGTTTTCAATGCTTTTCGATTAGCCGAAGAAGTTGAATTGTATCTAGAAAGCACGAGAAAAAATTTCTTCATCTTATAAAAAGAACAATGAAATCATTTAAAATAGTTATTCATACAATAAAGAGAAGAGTAAACCCAATTGATTATAAAGGAAAGTCATTTGTGAGAAATTGAGAAAATTGGTTTTTTTTTATATACAAATTGTTTTATGGTTCAACTGAAAAAGATTAAAAAAAAAATAAGGAAAAATTGAAATGTTTGTTTTACCTTTGATTTTCAATCACCCACATATAAATGCAGGCAAGCCAAGTGAAAAATCGGAGAGAGAATACGGGGGATTAATAATGAGATGGAGAAAGAAACATGTGAGATTGTGAGGTTTGAAAGGAAGAGAAAACGCTCGAGCGCGCGCATGTGTGTGTGTGTGCGCGTGCGTGTGTGTCCTTTGAATTAAATCTAATATAATGATTAACTAAGTAAAAAAAAACTATTTTAACCATTAGATTAGGGGTTTGTTTGTTTCAACTTTTTTTAAAAAAATTTCTTTGTATTTTCAAAAATAGATTTTACAAAACCATTTTTAAAAATATTACAAATTTTTTATATTTGTGTTTTCTAAATTGAAAAACTAATTTTGATATCTTATAATATAAACATATATTATTGAAGATCAAATATAGTCGAAATCACAATTTTTAAAAAAAAGTTGAATCTCAAAAATAACTTTTAAGAAAATCTATTTAAAATAGCTTCAAAATTAAGAGATTTTTTTAAATTTTAATATAAAAAAAAAGTTTCAATAAAATAATAAAATATCTAAAATTGTATTTTAAGAATAAATATTTAAACCAAATTTTCATTTGAAGTTTTTATGAAAAATTTATTTATAAATAATTTTTTACACAAAATTATGTTATACTATAAAAATTATTTTAAAAAAAACTAAACAAACGGACTTTAGATTGAATTCAAAAGTTATGATTTAAAAAAGGATTGTCCATGACAAAGCGGCCCAAATCAAGTGCAGCAACATTGGACGGGCACGCATTGGCTCCCATGAATAAGTCTGGGTCGCCCCCACATGGTTTAGGTTCGGCGCCTTGTCTAATGCACACATGTGGCTATTAAGTTGCTATTAGAGCTTTGTTGTTTTTAAGCTGTTTTTTGTTTTTGTGGTGTTGAAGTCTGCTTCAGTTCGTCAGGAATCAAATATATTTATAATTAAAATCACTCCCTTTCTTTATTTTGGACTAATACATATAAATCAAATCATTCTCCCCCTTTGATAAAAGACTAATCCGAAGTTTGAAGCAACAAGAACCACATGTTTATTTGCAAAGAGGACATCCTCTAACATGAAACCTTTTTATTTTAAAGATGTTACAAAACCTTTTTACCAACATGAAACTAGAAGATGCGGGGTATGATGATGAACACATGAAAGTAAAAGGAACAACATTAAATTTACTGGCTCATTTGAGCAAACTGCAGATTCTTCGTGTAATGTTTTGTTTATCCTTTGAAATAATGAACAATGGAGAGAATAATCAGATGACATTAGCTTCGTGTTTTAGTTTGTCAATAAGCTCATCCACAGAAGAAACAACAACACCTGATTTTCGCTTGGGAGGTTCTGTCACTTCGACAATCTCCAAATCGGGTTTGATTTCCACACTCAACTCCTCTGGCGTGAACTTCTTTATCGGCTTCTTTTTTGCTTTCATTATGTTGGGAAGTGTAGCATACCGCGGTTGGTTCAGTCTCAGATCAGTGCTGCAACAAGAAAAGGCACAAAACTTACATATCAAGAAAGTCGGTAAGGTGAAGGGTACAAGATTATAGTTTATGTTCTGGTGATAAAATGTGGCATTATGAAACAGATTATAACCATACCTACGATTTTAAATGTCCTCGTGAAAAACAACAGTCAGTATTTCACTAGATTTTGTGTTATAGTATGATACAGAATGCAAAAATGAATGTGATATTTACGTTATTACTGCTGGTAAGTTCAAAGAGATAGTCTCGATACCATCATCAACCTCTCTGTCAACAGTGGCTACTTGTTTCTCTTTATCGAGGACAACCTATCGGAAAGAAGCAGTTAGTTATGAAACAATTCAAAGAAAAGAAATCATTTCAGGTTTCGCTTAAAATGGTTATTCAAAAAAGCTTGATTATATCCAAGTTAGATAGGAAGTAATGGTTACACAGAAGAGAAGCTACTCTAAAACAGTGGCCTAGCTCATCAACTTGGTCTAAGTAAACAGGTAAGAATAATGCATATTGAAAGAAATGTCAATGTCAATGTCAAATGACGGATCATTGGCTCATGGTTTGAAAGAAACGTTTTATTTGTATCAGCTTGACCTAAAATACAATGGATGAAACATATTCCATGAATCGTGTTTAATTGTTTCCAAAGGCGCCAGTATACGCAGATGCATATCAGCATGCAAATATAGACTCTAGAAAGAGGGAGAAAAATAATATAAATTTGAATACATTGTACTTCTAACATGGTATCTAACTTATGAATATCATAGATAGCTAGCCAAAGAAATGAATCAGACCCTATTTGCTGAAGACGTAGATAATGGACTAACCTTTGAAGCAAAAGTCCCTTGTGGCCAGTTGAGAAGTCCTGCTACCATCTGCCCTGCTTGATTGCAATCATCATCAATGGCCTGAAAATATACAAGGAAAAAAAACACTTAATAGACTAGACAATTATGATCATCTGAATATTCTCATTAGACAGAATTTCAGATTGTATATTGTTCTACACAATGGTGATCATCCAAACGTCATGAATAATATCCCAATTTGATAGGTGAAAAATGATTTATGTTTGCATATATTCGTGTAGAAGTGGGTTGAACAACAATAACTTTAAGTAAGAATCTTTCAGAACAAAAACTCGCAATAGAAGATAAAAGAAACAATAAAGCGCCAACGATGAAACACTATGTTTGGTTAAGAAGTTCAGTCAAGCATGCCTATGTATACGACTATATAGCAATTGTAGTTCCGTCTAATTGATAGTGAAAGAAATTACGGTTTACAATGTTACAACTCATATATAAATACATCGATCCATAATACAACAATGACTTTGAACCATACCACGGCACAAAGAGTATCAATTCTACTTGAGATCATGCAAACATATCAAAATACATTCTACACATCACGAAAAATGGGGATTGATATCACTGGTACAAGAAAACATAATCAAAATCCAGAATTTATCTCATCACTAAAAACCAATAACCCCAAAAATTCAAACAAAACAGCTAATTCACAAACCATCATCACAATGAAACATTATCAACAAACACAAACCTCAATTTCCACAAACCCTAAAAAATGCAGATTACCTGTTTGCCAAGAATCAAAAGCCCAGGTTTCTCAATCTCAACAAGCTTCTTCAAAATCTTGGAAACAGAGAGAGGATAAAGAGAATCATCAACCTCAACATGAATCCCTTTATCAGCTCCCATAGCAAGACCAGTTCTAAGAGTGTCAACACACTGAGAAGGTCCCATGCTAACAGCCACAACCTCTGATGCCAAACCAGCTTCCCTGATTCTAAGGGCTTCTTCAAGGGCAATCTCACAAAATGGATTCATCGACATTTTCACGTTCTGGGTCACCACCCCTGTCTGCAAAAATAATAAAAATCGTGTCTTTTTCATCTAAAGATTGAAAATTTACAGTGAACACAAAAAGCGTTGTTCTGAGATTTTGTAGTGGTTACCTTGTCGGGTTTAACTCTGATTTTGACGGCGTAATCGACGACTCGTTTAATGGCTACCATTATCTTCATCTTGTTGATGGGTATTGATGGTAGCTTCTGTGTATTTTGCTCTCTGAAATTAATAACTCTCTCTAATTCTATGGTATATCAGATTTCATTGCTTTAAGAAATTTATTTAATAGATTATAAGGGGATTTTGCATGTTTTAATCTCTATCCTCAGTGATTACTTATACACGACCAGAGGCATTTGTTTCATCTCTATCCATTTGTTGCCTAATTAACATATTATTACATGAAAGTTTTTTTTCTCTTAGACATTTTTGTCCATTTCCAAAAATAATACTTTATTTCTTTCTTATTTAAAATAAATAAAAAAAGATTAAATACTGTTTTTAGTCCTTAACTTTATTTTAGAATTTATTTTTTATCTTTTAATTTTAAAAAATTTAAAATTAATTCTGTAATTATTTAAACAGTATCATTCAAGTCTTTTTCGTCCAATTTTTTTAAAAGCTATCTATTTTTACACTAGTGACACATGAAAATATATTTATTATTAAAAGAAATTAAAATTTCAATTAAAAATTTAAAACTTTATCTTAAACTATATTTGGAACTAATATGCAAAATTTAAGTCCTTTATCGGTGAAACCTCTAAAATTAACCGTTAGATTTGATCAACGCATCCAAATTGTTATAATTAAAATAAGCATATTTGTACAATCTCACACACAATTTTCTCCCACTATAACTAAATTATGTAACTTCTCTTTTTATCATCATTAACTTCCCTATTGAAAACAATATACATTAAACAAAAACAATTGAATGCAATTAATATTTAAGTGTATAAATTTTCTTATTTTTAAGATTCTACTATTGGTGATGCAATTAATATAACCAATTTTTTTTTTAATTTAAAAAAAAACATATTTTTATTTATGTTTGGAGCACAAATATTTTTTTACCCTTGTATAAATATTAATTTTAGAATGACATTATATATTTGAATCAGTATAAATATGAATATATTTATAATTATCTAATAAATATCATCTCAATTTCTATATCAATTATTTTATATTAAATATAGGTAAATATATATTGATCATTTATGAACTTCTCCCGTTAAAATTTAAAATTAAATATAGATAAATAAATTAATGAGAATCAACATCATCAAAAATATTAATAATAATAAAAAAATTAAATTTAACCGATAAAAGTCATATATTATGTAATTAAAATCCTCATAATCTCTATTATTCTAATTCTACTAATTATTTTCAATCAATTATTTTTTACCCTATCTCATCAACTAACCATTTTTGTTTGAATTTTAAATAAAAAATATTTTGAACAATATATGCATTAATTGGTTTTGTAATAAAATAAAAAATAGTATAAATTTATGTAAAAATTGTTATAAAATGGATTGGTTTTGATTTAGTTAGGCATTAAAGGTTTTAGCGTAAACACATTGTTGGAGATATGAAACAAACCTAACAAGTTGCTTTCACTAGCTTTCATACGCTCACCTACGTAAATATCAACAGCGATAAAAAAAAAATTGATCATCTTCAAGTGTAAGGAAATTCCTTCTCTTGAAAATTGTTTCGCAAAGCACGACTCGAGATTTTCAGAGACAAACTCCCTGCCATTGAAGAATATCCGCACACTTATAGTTAAATATGTTGTATATTTATTTATTCAGTTTGTAAATGTTGATACTTAAAATTAGGTTATAGGTTTTGATAAATTTATCATTTTACTCATTTGTAAATGTATTGTCATTGTAGATCTCTCTAATTATGCACCGTGAACACTACGCCAAAAACAACCTTTAACAGCGCAACAACGCCAACGCTTATATAACAAAGCGCTCTTATATGATTTTAGAAAAATTCGCTTTAAAAAAGCGCTTTAAAAGAGTAACCTTATCCGCCTATCCGGGTTCTTCATTGGATTGTGTCGCATAATATTCGTCCCAAGAAAGGCGGATATTCCATAATTGACAAAGCCGAAGTAGCCTTGTTGTATGCTCTCATAAAGAAGTCAAGGTTAATTGGCCTTACTATATTATTAGTCGCATTTTTGCACTGAGAGAAAAGAACAAGGTGGCCTTGAGTTATCCGTCTCCCATTCAGTCCGTCTTGATTAATGCAAAGGTTGTTGTGGAAGGGTTGCCTATGATGTCCATCAATCCAAATCATGAATTTCAACAAAAAAACGCTCACTCTTATGGGACACTTATGGTATCCTGTTGAAAAGAGGTTTGTTTTAAATTTGAGACCTGGTAGTCAATTTGAAACTGCTATAACAGATGGTACTGATACGCTTGAAAAAGCTCCTAGTGGTGACAACACTGAGTCTGATGAGGAAGATCATGATGATCAAACTCAGCCTATGGAGGAAGATCAAGGCGACTGGGTCAGAACAGATGTACATGAACGTGACTCATATGAAGACTATGGTTGGAATAGAAATGAAGAAGAGGTAATTCTCTATGATAATCAAGGTTGGGGAGAGTGGCAACACACTGGATGGACTCAAAATCAGTCATCTTACCAACTTCAATTTCAACCATTTCACGCATATTCTCCACCAGAGTACACCTCACCTTCTACTGATGAGCCGAGTATTCGTGCTATGTTGCATAATATGCAACTTCAACAGGAAGAACACTATGAGGCTCAAAATGAAGCTTTTAAGGCATACACTACTCTGCAAGCTAAGAGAGAGAGAAACAACACCAACCTCAGCATACTGAAATGATGAGTCTTATGCAGCAGATATGGTCATTGGAACTCTTAAGCTCATTAAGCTCATTGTTGTATCTGTTGCATAAGACTCATCATTTCAGTATGCTGAGTTTGGTGTTGTTTCTCTCTCTCAGTCTACAGAGTAGTGTATGCCTTAAAAGCTTCATTTTGAGCCTCATAGTGTTCTTCCTGTTGAAGTTGCATATTATGCAACATAGCACGAATACTCGGCTCATCAGTAGAAGGTGAGGTGTACTCTGGTGGAGAATATGCGTGAAATGGTTGAAATTAAGGCTGGTAAGATGACTGATTTTGAGTCCATCCAGTGCGCTGCCACTCTCCCCAACCTTGATTATCATAGAGAATTACCTCTTCTTCATTTCTATTCCAACCATAGTCTTCATATAAGTCATGTTCCTGTACACCTGTTCTGACCCAGTCGCCTTGATCTTCCTCCATAGGCTGAGTTTGATCATCATGATCTTCCTCATCAGACTCAGTGTTGTCACCACTAGGAGCTTTTTCAAGCGTACCAGTACCATCTGTTCTAGCAGTTTCAAATTGACTACTAAGTCTCAAATTTAAAACAAACCTCTTTTCAACAGGATACCATAAGTGTCCCATAAGAGGGAGCGTTTTTTTGTTGAAATTCATGATTTGGATTGATGGACATCATAGGCAACCCTTCGACAACAACCTTTGCATTAATCAAGATGTACTGAATGGGAGACGGATAACTCAAGGCCACCTTGTTCTTTTCTCTCAGTGCAAAAATGCGACTAGTAATATAGTAAGGCCAATTAACCTTGACTTTCTTTATGAGAGCATACAGCAAGGCTACTTCGGCTTTGTCAATTCTGGAATATCCGCCTTTCTTGGGACGAATATTATGCGACACCATCCAATGAAGAACCCAGATAAACGGATAAGGTTACCCTTTTAAAGTGCTTTTTTTAAGCGAATTTTTCTAAAATCCTATAAGAGCACTTTGTTATATAAGCGCTGTCATTGTTGCGCTGTTAAAGGTTGTTTTTGGCGTAGTGTTCACGGTGCATAATAAGAGAGATCTACAATGATAATACATTTAGAAATGAGTAAAATGATAAATTTATCAAAACCTATAACCTAATTTTAAGTATCAACATTTACAAATTGAATAAATAAATATACAGCATATTTAACTATAAGTGTGCGGGTATTCTTCAATGGCAGAGAGTTTGTCTCTGAAAATCTCGAGTCGTGCTTTGTGAAACAATTTTCAAGAGAAGGAATTTCCTTACACTTGAAGATGATCAATTTTTTTTATCACTGTTGATATTTACGTAGGTGAGCGTATGAGAGCTAGTGAAAGCAACTTGTTAGGTTTGTTTCATATCTCCAACAATGTGTTTACGCAAAAAACTTTAATGCCTAACTAAATCAAAACCAATTCATTTTATAACAATTTTTACATAAAGTTATACTATTTTTTATTTTATTACAAAACCAATTAATGCATATATTGTTCAAAATATTTTTTATTTAAAATTCAAACAAAAATGGTTAGTTGATGAGATAGGGTAAAAAATAATTGATTGAAAATAATTAGTAGAATTAGAATAATAGAGATTATGAGGATTTTAATTACATAATATATGACTTTTATCGGTTAAATTTAATTTTTTTTTATTATTAATATTTTTGATGATGTTGATTCTCATTAATTTATTTATCTATATTTGATTTTAAATTTTAACGGGACAAGTTTATAAATGATCAATATATATTTACCTATATTTAATATAAAATAATTGATATAGAAATTGAGATGATATTTATTAGATAATTATAAATATATTCATATTTATACTGATTCAAATATATAATGTCATTCTAAAATTAATATTTATACAAGGGTAAAAAAATATTTGTGCTCCAAACATAAATAAAAATATGTTTTTTTTAAATTAAAAATTTTTTGGTTATATTAATTGCATCACCAATAATAGAATCTTAAAAATAAGAAAATTTATACACTTAAATATTAATTGCATTAAATTTTTGTTTAATGTATATTGTTTTCAAGTGGGAAGTTAATGATGATAAAAAGAGAAGTTACATAATTTAGTTATAGTGGGAGAAAATTGTGTGTGAGATTGTACAAATATGCTTATTTTAATTATTAACAATTTGGATGCGTTGATCAAATCTAACGGTTAATTTTAGAGGTGTCACCGATGAGGGACTTAATTAAACCCTCACCCTAGATTTCACCCTGTTTTTAGTCCTTAACTTTATTTTAGAATTTATTTTTTATCTTTTAATT